ACTGTATTTTTTGCACTATAAGATGCTCTGGACCATAAGATGCACCTAGCTTTTGGGGAGGAAAACAAGAAAAAAATCTGCTTCTGCCTCCCAGCGTCATTGGTATTCGTCTGACTAGCATCCTTGCAGCAAACAGCAAACAGCCTGGTCAGCTTCTCGCAGCCTGATTTATCACGAGCAACTGATTGGCAGTTGGATCAGCCTCTTAGAATACCACTGATCAGCTGTTCCAGGCTGTGGGGATCACCGCCGCCCATCTTTGTTTCTTGTCAAGCAGAGGTGACAGCCTTGACGACACTACTTTGCAGCGGTGATTGGTGGCAGCATTAGTGATTGGCGGTGACAATTGGCGATGATAGGCAGCGGCAATCCCCACCACCTGGAGCGAGGCAACAACAAAATGTGCAGAGGCCAAAATTGGGGCACACGGAGGCTGAAAACAGCCAAAGGGGAGGGCAGCAGGTGGCGAGGCTTCAACAACATTTGCTCTATAAGACGCACAGATATTTCCACCCACTTTTTTGGGGGGGAAGGTGCATCTTATAGTGCAAAAAATACTATATGAATAGCACAGACAATTGTAATCTCTTCTGCCTTTAAGATGATAATTACTCTATTGGTGTCAGATGCAAGATACCTAAAAAAAGGCATGGAGCAAGGCAAAACAAATGCAAGCAAGTTGAACACAATTTTTCTATATGTATTTACACTATACTGTCCAGATAAAGATTGTATTATTTTCTGCTAGGCACGCTACTAATAAGAACTTACCCTGGCCCTGCAGGAAGGGGAAATGTAGTAATAATTCCCAGAATCTCCCAGTTTGATGCGATGCTTGCAGGCTCGAGACAGGCCACTCAAAGCGCATTTCCTATAAAAGGGAGGTGGGAGTAGAAAGAATCAAGCAGGATGTCATCTAGAGGCCTTGACTAAAGGGAACAAAACATTATGCTGGACACCACCATTCAAACCCAAGAAAAGACCTTCATTTTTGCATCTTACTGGTATTAAAGGGTTTCACAATATGTTTATTTTTAGTTATTCTCTATGCTAAGAATTTATCCTAAAAGATATTAAGGCTATAAAGCTAAACATAATTATTAGCATAGAAGTTCAATTCAACTCAATTCAGTACCATTTGCACTTCTTAGAATGGATGGTAAATTTGTCGACGTCACATTCGGGATTGTTATATCCTGGCAGGAGATCCTCCTATTCCGTCAGCTAAAACTGTGAACGATCTAAACCAGTGTTTTTAATTCCCAGAATTCCCCAGCCTGCTTGTCTTCATAGCAGCCATCCTGCTTCTTGTTTTTCAGTGGGGGTGAGGGGGGGAGCTAATCGGTGCTTTGGTTGAATCATTTTTTCTGGATTCAAACGTTGCTATTTGTAGCCTGTTTGAAAAGTGCATTTGGGGCATTCAGTCTCAAAACATATTGCCGCTATAGAGGTTGCAGAAAGTTTGGAATTTTGCCTTACTAGAAATAAAAATATTAAGAAATGGAAAAATCATAAAGATGCATTTACAAATATTCTGCCTCCATTCGATCACCTCTTCCTATTCCACAGTAAAAGGAATCAATTGTCAATATCAAGATTAGCATTGTATAATATTTGAATTTGTTACATTTTGTCTTTCTTCCTTCTGTAGATTTATAGGTAATTTAATTTAAAAAGAGAAAAGAAAAGAAACTATTACTATTAAGCCACCTGTAAGCTATTCAAAATTTCTTGCATTAAAATTTGACATTTGAAAAAGTCTAGCTATAGGATTTGGGAGGTAACCACCAACACAGAAAACCAAGTAAAGTTAATATTACAGGAGAAAGTTGACAGTTAGTAGACAAAAATATTCATCTGAGGTTATATACCCAGCAGTGCAGGAATAAAGATGAACCATTCCAAAGACAGTTGTAATTGAAGATTACCTATATTGTACGCAGTCAACATCCTGAGTGCTTAAAATGTATTGGACAGCACCAATTACAAAGCTGTTAGTAACAACTTGAGTTAGTAGCTTATTAATAATGGAGTAAATACCTTTTCACTGGCTTAAAAAAAATAACTTACGTTATAATTTGGGACCGGAACCCACTGTGAGAAGAAATAAGAAGTTGAAACTAGTATTAGGCTAGAAATGGCAACATTCATTCTTCTTGGACTAATGGCAGTGTGCCTGTAGAAAGCACAGCTCAAACTGAGAGAAGATTAACATCTAAATTATTTAGGCTACAATCCTATATGGGGGGTCTTTAGAGTTCTCTGAGCTTGCTTGTTTTCTTGCAGACATCTCATTACCTTAACTAGGTGACATCATCAGTGCACATCCTATACTTACCAACAAGAACAAACTCAGAGTAGCAGAATTCTGGACTGTACTATTCCTAAAGTTTAAATGGGGCAGAGAGAATATCTGTCTCAAAGACAAGTTATTCTGAGCCCAGCAGACTGATCCATACCACTT